AAATCTCACTCCTTTTTAGCGCATTTTCTCATTTATGGAAAAAATGCACTATTGTGCTCGCCGCCGTCGTCCGTCTGTCCGTCTGTCCGTCCGTCCGTCTGTCCGTCTGTCCGTGATCTCAAGTTTTCTCGAGAAAATGCGCTCTCTGTCACTCACTGCAGTGAGTGCTGAGTTATATTTTTTGAGAGTAGGTCTCAACTAGATTTTACTAGCCCGCTTCTGCTGAGTAATCAAGCTACATTTGAGCCTTATTTCACTTATCGGAAATTTTTGTGCATTTGCTAAAAATTCTGTGAAAATTAAAAAAATTGCATCAGCAAATGCACCGAAAAAAAATTGTGCATATGATAGAAAATTTTAGAACAATTTGCAGAAACATTTTTCGATTTATTTTATGCTTTAAGTCATCTACTCGCATATTTTCTACATAAGAGGAATAAAAAAATAGTTTTGAAGCTCAATAAAATTTAGTTTTTGTGTATAGCTGAAATACCGCGATATTTATTAATACAAAACATGCACAATAATATGCATCGTAAAAATGTTCACCATAGTTGCGATACAATTTACTTGTTATATAATCAAACACCCATATTGTATTTGCTGAGCTACTTAAATTTTCTTTTTAGCGCATTTTCTCATTTATGGAAAAAAGGCGCTATTGTGCTCGTCATGTCTATCTGTCTGTCCGTCTGTCTGTCCGTCCCTCCGTGACTTCACGTTTGCGTCGACGAGAAAATGCGCTCTCTGTCACTCGCTGCAGTGAGTACTGAGTTATATTTTTTAAGTATGAACCTGTCTTCGCAGATACCTCCTCATTTGTGTTAGTTGCATGTGCGTAAAACGTCGCAATTAACTCGAATTAAAATCATATTCTAGCTACCACACATTTACCCTGAGTATGCTGACAGACTGATTTAAGCGCTGGCGAATTACAAAACGAAAGTAATTAAAATTGATAGTAAAAATTAGAGCTGGGTCTGGGCAGGGCTTGGACGGCACAGGACAGCGCAGTAAAAGAATAACCGGACATCTAAATCCATCACAACGCCTCGCCGGGACCCTAACAAAATTTACAGTCGCCCCAGCTTCCTGTAATCCAAATCAGAAGCAGCCGCGTCTGTAAATTTTCACTGGGTAATGAGGGACTTGAGGTAAGACTCCAACAGCCGGGCAAAGCCGGGAAAACAGCGCAGTTTTGGCGCCGCCTGATTATGTTATGCCTGTGGTGACTTTTAAGGTAAGGCTCGATCCATCTCCTTTCGGACTATTCTCCGGCCGGACTTTCGGCCGGTCTCGTGGCCGGTCTCCAACAATTAATGAACATGAAATATCTCCCAAACAAATGAACATAGCTCGATGAAACCTTGCACATGCATTCATTAGAACCTAACGATGATGTTTAGGTTCTATATATAATTATATAGAACAAAAACTAACTATATAATTTTTTTATATTTTTCCTCCGTTTGCGAGGTACAAGGCTTTTTGAGGAATCCAATTCGTGAATGTAATTTTTATGATGCATCATCACTTTATTACAGTTCTCTCAAACGAAGGCAAAATCAAAGAATTATCACAACCTAAACATCATGGTTTTAGGTTCTAATGAATGCATGTGCAAAGTTTCGTCGAGCTGCGCTCATTAGTTGTGCTGATATTTCACGTTCACGGAAAATTTGACAATCAGCCGCAGAAATGCCAGTCACTTCTCTTTATAGCCTTATATCCTTAAATAACTTGCGAATTAAGCCTTAATTTACAAATTTTTGCACGACCTGAACATCACCGATAGATGAATAAGAATGCATATTCAAGGTTACGTTCGAATCTCTTCATTCATTACATCGTGCAAGAGGTTGCGCTCCAAGAATACTGCTAATAACGCCTGCAGACCTCTATTAGTGACTGTGAAGGATCCGGCCCAGGTTTGGAGCGTGCTGAAAGCAGCGAAAAAATTAGGAGAAACTGTTGAATTCAAGTCTGTTTTTGTGAAGAAGGATTCCACCCCTTTAGAGAGGGCGGCTGGAGCGAAACAGACTCAGAAACACAGAAAATCATGTCAACACCAGTCAAGATCTCACAAGGACTCCGACCGCTCGCCGACAGTCAGGGGAGATGGAAGACAATTAAATAGTGGAAATCATGTATATAAATCCAGTTCTGTAAATAAGGTAAAAAGTTTACTCATACATCAAGATGGAAGTGCACAAAAAGTTTTGAAATGTTTCTACACGAACTCTGATTCCGTTTTGATCAAAAGAAATGAACTGTTAACAGTGATCGAAAACGAGTGTATAGACATTATTTGTATTACAGAGACACTCCCCAAAACTCACGGGGGGAAATTTTACCAGTTGAATTTCAGTTGCCAGATTTTGATTGCTTTCATAATTTAAGCGAAGAGCAGTGTAGTAGAGGTGTAGCTCTGTGGGTTAGAACCTTTTATGGGGCCCAACAAGTTAAGTTATCAGCAGAGCACCAATCAGCTAGAGAATCAGTGTGGTGTGAGCTTTCTTTAAAAAGCAGGGATAGCCTCCTTATAGGTGTCCTGTATAGATCACCCAACAGTTCCTCTGATAACGATCAAGTACTGAACAGTCTTCTAC